CAGCTTTAACTCACAGATAGCAAGAAAAGGTCTACCTTTAGAATTCATAATCAGGTGCCAATCCACCTGCACTTTGGGGCACAGATACCTATGTGGTTCAAAAAAAGAAAGCAACATTAAGCCTGGTGCCAAGCAGAAGCAAATACAAATCCTTTCCAGAGTAATAAACCCTAAAGTCAGGCTTTGAAATAATATTCTGACAAAATTGAGCTCATATTGAAAAACGTCAAAGCGATATGAAGAAACAAGATTCCACAGGAGTCAGCAGAGACAACAAAGGGCAGAATCATTCCTACAAGGATATCAGATATTGGGATTGACAGATGTAAAATATCTTTATTAAATTTAAATAAATGGAAAAGAAAATGGAAAACATAAAGGAAACGACAATCTATCAAAGCAAGACAACTAGTAAAACGAAAAGCAAGAAAGCCATTACCATAAAGTTTAGGATAGTGGTTATCCTGGAAAGGCAAGATGTAGTGATTGGGAGAGAACATGGGTGGCATTTGGGAATTCTGACAATATTCTGTTTCTTAATCTGCATAGTCATTACACAGCCTTCTGCTTTATGATAAATCTTTTAACTACCTGTATTTCTATTTGGTCCATTTTCTGTATGTGAATTGTATTTCAAAAAAATTTTTAATGTATAAAAATAAATGTTAAAGTATTATACTTCATGTAATAAATTTAGATAAAACTAGTAATTGAAATATAAAATTCAATGGAAAGATTAAATAGAAGATTGGATACCACAAAAATTAGTAGTCCACTGTAAATTAGATAAGAAGAAATTAAAGTGAAAAACAGAGAGAAAGGATGGAAAACAAACAACAACAACAGTAAAACAAGGTAAGAGAGATGAGAGAATGAAAAGGAGAAGATCCAACATATATCCAACCAGAATTCCAAAATGAAAGATTAGAAAGAATGGGAAAGAGCTGAGAATTTTTCAGACTTAAAGAAAGATATTAATCCTTAATCCTGAAATACTAATCAAGTTCAATTGATATAGGAAAAAAGAAAACCCACAGACACACAAAATAATGCAATTGTAGTATATCAAAAACTAATGAGACATTAAACGTATTCAAACAGAAAAGACAAATTATAAACAAAGATAATAAAACAATTAGGATCAATGGAGATAAGATGATAGTGAAATACTGAAATAACTGAGATAAAGTTCATGTCAACCTAAAATTATATACATCCAATAAAACTATCCTCAAGAACAAGAATTTTAAAAGCTATTTTGAGAATCAAAACCAAAGATTTTAATATATAAATAGAATAGCTACAATAACAACTTATTAAACTTCCTCAGTGGCAGAAATGAGATGACATGACAGAGGAAACAATAAGACGGAAGTTATATTGATAGAAATTTTCCAATATAAACAGTACAGAAAATTATCAAAATTGAACCAAGACTCAGAGACCTGTGGGACAATACCAAAAGGTTTAACATTCATGTCACTGGAGTCTAAGAAAGAGAGGAGAAAGTGTATAATGTAGAAAAAAAATCTGGATATATAATGGTGAGAAACTTCCCATGTCTGGCAGAAGATATAAATTTATGAACCATAAAGCTCAGCAAACTCCAAACAAAATAACTGCAAAGAAATTCATAAACTACTGAAAACCAAAGGGGGAAAAAAGCTTGAAAGCAGTTAGAGAAAAATGATACATCATATATAGGAAATCA